TCCATGAGTTAGCTGCCCAAGAGAGGGTAGCCAGCTGCTCTCTGCTCTCAAAAGCTTACCCCTCCGTGCTTCTTTCTTTATATGGCTAAATATTGCAATCTGCATTTTAAGCCCAAATACAGTCTTTATTTCGCAACCTCTGTGTTTACACATTTTATTGAATTTTTGAAGATTGGATTACTTTTCAGCATTTGATTTGTTGCAGTGACTTCGGGCTGGCTGCCCAACTCAACCATGGCTGCTACTCTTGGATGATGGCCCAACCATTAATTATTTCCCTGCTGAAACTGCATTACCACAAAATAAATTTTGTTATAATGTCATTAAGTAAAGGCCACAGAAACCTGTCCAGCATTAGAAATTTCTTCTTGGCAGCTGTTTTATGCTTTTTCCTCACATTATCTAAATCAAGAATGAGATATCATTTAATATTTTACCAGCTTATGAATCGAAACAGGACTTCTATTTTCCTTGATGTAAATATAACAGTATCAGCATTGAAGTAATCATCAAATCACAGACATTACCCTACAATCTTTATAAATTCAATCTCCCAAATGAGACAACACATTTAAGCATAAAAATATTGAATCATGTCAGGTTAAGTTAGTTACCATCTTTAGTTCACAGGATATAAAAGTTCTTACTATTGTAAGACAAGTCTTAGTACGTAAAAGGAGTTTAATAAAATACTCATTACTTGTCTTCACAAATATGGAAATTCTTAGTCACAAAAGTGTAAACCACTTAGGACTGTAATGAAAGACCTTGAGGTGAAAGGAAGAGCRAGACAAAAATATGTATAATTAGGAACAAGCACCCATAGGTTCACTGTTAGCACAACTGAAGTGCCCACAACATGGAGTTCACTTGTATCAAAATCATGTAATTATGTTAACATATGGTAATGTCATTGCCATRAAAATACTGCTTTCCTCTAATAATTTAGGAAGGAGCTCAATTATGAAGTCATGTGGTTTGGTCTTGTGTTGGTGATATCATTCTGTTTCTGAAAACAATAAAAATTATTAATTCTTTTCCACTTCTACCATTCCAGTCTGTTCCATCAGAGCAGCCCCTTTCCCTTTAAATCWTTAAATTGTATTCCTGTGGAAAATRAATCACAGAWTTTTTCCAGCAGAAAAWTTTTTAAATAYTACCTACAGAGGTGRTTTACCACTGAAAATGTAAACAGARTTGGAGACATTCAGCTATCTGCTGCATTAATCCAATTCCATTTTAGCTAACAGCAGCCTGATGCTCATTATCCTTCCAGAAGGTAAMTCTTCCTTGCCAAAGATATGCTTTTATGGTAGGTATTATGCTTATCAGTATTTTCACATTGTTTTCTGCTGCACAGTGTATTTTTTAAAAGAATAATTATTTTTGATACTTCATCATTGTTTTGAAACATCTCACTGCAATTAAATGATGAATAATAAAAGGAGCAACAGARTAATACAGCTACAGCAAATGTCTTAGGCTACTTCAAATACCTTTTTTTTTCCCCTTAGTTACAGACCAGTAAATTCAATGGGTTTCACACATTAGAGCTCAAAAAGGCCATCATGGTAGTTAATGGAATAAAACTGACTTTTTGCATTCTTGTTTTAAATAGGGATTTTATTACCCRCTCCTGCACAATCTACTGCCTTTTTTCCTTACCATTGTGCAAGTGGGTTTGACTGGCAGTCTCAAATTTTAATTTCACTCCAGAGCAGAGAGACTGCTTTGCACATTATTTTGCGTAGCACATACAGCTCAGTTGCCAGGTGTGAGACTTTCCAACTATGGAAACAAATCTGCAGCCAGAGCTTCATTGTGCTTGATGCTGTAGAAAGAGGGAAGATCAGAAACCTACAATCTAAGCAAAGGGGCCAAAGTCCAAAGTGTAAAATAGGAGAGGAGTAAGGGAGAAAGGAAGGTATTCAATAATCACACAAGCCAGACCAGCCCCCTTTCATCAGGTTGCATCACCTAACTAAAAATGTCCTGCAGAAGACTGTCACTAGCACTTTTCTGATGTCAAAAGGAAAAATATCCATGAAACTACACCTGTCAAAGCCCAACCCATCCCTCAAGGAGCTGTGCTTGTTACAAAATCACTTGTTTGGCCTAACAATGACATTGAGATACTTCAACTACTAGAGTTTTTAAATGTTCCGATTTCAAACAGCAAATTCTATTTTCTTCTATAATTTAATAGAGGTCAAAACACGGCTGTAAYAAGGCAGAGAATACTGATGCTGATAGCATCACAACCATTTTCCCCAACTGAAGCTCTTCTCTGATGTGTTATAAAAATATTTCTACCTGGTTCCCATTATTGTCCATGTATCAGTTCAGCTTTTTGGGCCCCCTCCAAAAAAACCATTACTCTTATCTAATTCTAATTGTTTTTATAGGAGCTGTTCTTCCCTAAATTTTGTAGCACTTTAGGACTAAAGTAGCAAGGAAATATACAAGTGTATAAACAAGTGTCTTCATCCTTTCATCCAAATTACTTCAAGAGGCTAGTCTGTGGAAAGAGCTAATGATCCAATCAGTATAARATAATATTACAAATTGGAATTCTAATAGATAATCTCTAGATGTGGTTTATTAAGTAATTATACATTTGAAGAAATCGAATATTTTTATATTATTGATGTTGCTGTTGCTGTAGTCCCTCGCAATGGTCCCTTTAGCATTTTTAAGTTCCTAGTTGCATTGCACAGAAAAAGCTTTGAATGAATGCTGCTTGACAGAGTGGCCTTTGATGATGAAGACAGAAAGGTGGCAATCAGGGAAGAAAAGGATGCTACAAATAGGCACAAAGGGACTGCAAGCCCCTGGAATTGCCAGGGACCTCTTTGCATTCTTTGTTAAGGTGGTGTTGACAAGTTTCTTTCATGCAGTTCATGAGCTAATGCAGTCTGTAGATGAGATGTTCTCCCAAGCAGTTCAACAGAGAAGCTGAAGTGGCAATAAGCAATGAATCAACAGCCCCTTGCTGAAAATGACAGTAAACAATGAATTAACAGCCTGCTAGGGTATCCTCGAATCTGTGACTCCTGTGTCATATGAATTCCTGCCCTACAAATGAAACATCAGGCTGCTTCCAYTGCTGATAAAATCAGAATTAGGAAATAGCTGATACAGAGTGGCTGTACTTACTTGTATACTTACTTGTTTGTGCCATGTTATGCACTGCTCGGTCCCAAGAGCCATAAAAATATGTATATAATTAGCTATCGAACAATAATCAAAYCTAAAGGTATTTGCACCAATATTTATTACAAATTACATCTCATGGAAAGGGCTGTCTGTAAGGGGTGACTGGAAACACATTTAAAGCTTTTAAATATATCTCAATRGAAATGTAAAACTTAAGCAAGCTGKGCTCTCGACTTCTTATGCCTTTGTCCCTTGCTCAGTGCTTGATTTTGAGAAGAACATGGTAGGAAAAGCTCACCAATTTTAATTAAATTCAGTCAAAATGAGGTAACTCCTGGGCAGGCAGCTCTAGTTCTGCACATTTGCACGTAAGCCCAACAGCCAGACACCAGCACTCACACACTCCCTCTGCTCTCTGCACTGGGCTAGGAGAACAAACACCTATTTATATCTTTAAAGGTACCAGAGGTACCATATCATCCAGGTACCTTTGCTGCAATGCTTTTTGAGATTTCCTGTCAAAACTGACACAAACAGTAGACAAGACATGGTCTGTTTCCATTAAATTGGCTGGTCTCACTTCTATAYAGAAATATTGGTCATGACCCCTTCTGCTGTTTTTGAAATTGGGAGACAAAGACATGACAAAATGGGCTACTGGAATTGTCTTTCTGTCTTTATTTAAGAGACAACTTTTCTCATCCATTTTCTAAAGAAGCAGTGTTACTGCAAAAAAAATCAGAAAAAAAAATCACAATCAAAACCACACATGGAATAACTTAAATAAACATTTTTCCTTTTCAAGATGATTGAAGWATAGGATAAATAAAACATATTATTTTGGACATTCTCCATAAACAGTTCATATCTAATAGTTTCTCCATTAAGTATTCAGAAAATCAATACATATCAGTTAAAGCACTCTGCCATTGACTGCATCTTTAGAGGAACAAGTTGCTTGGAAAAAAATGAGATTTCACTGAAGAATAAACCTATATAAATTAGGTTTCTTAACGTTTATGCATCTTTAATCCTCTCTTCTCTCTTCAACACAACCTACAGCAAACTGGTTTTATCTGAGCAGGCCTGGAAGCTGTTGGTGCCACTGCTTAGTTAAGCYAAGGGGTCAAGCAGCAATGGAAAACATTAGGGATCATCCACAAGGCTAACATTAGTGCACTGAGGCTAAGCTCTTGAGAAAGCATCCTCTTCAAAGTGCTCTTTGTTGCTATAGAGGAATGCATTCACTTCATCCACCCCAAAGACAGCTCAGCACTACCTTCAATCAGTCAAATCAAACATACACACACACAGTTTGCACAAGGAGGCTTTTGCTGTGGTGAGGGTATTAATATAGGYCAACAGCCCAGRGGCTGCAGTGCCAGTCATGCACACAGGCTTGTCACACAATTCCTGTAGGTCCTGTCTCACCCCAGTGGTTACTGCTCAGACTTTTTGGCACCTAAAGGAGCCCCCTCTGCAGCACTGCATGGGCCAGAGGAGCAAAATGCAGCTTCAACTCAGAGAATTCACAACAGAGCGAGACTGCCACAGCTGGAGCTGTTTCTTCTCTTCATGCCACATCCCAGCATAACCCCRATGTCATACAATAATATAGCTGGAACGCATAATATTTAACATTAACTAGAAAGACAAAGAGAAAATTTTTGTTCACTGCATTAGACAGTAGCTTTTTGTTTTTAAACACTGAGTTGTTGGACCGGTTTCCTTCTGGTCTTTCCCATTAACACCACTTGTCTACAAAATTGCTACAAAACACTGCAACAACCTAATATCCACCTAAAATAACCGATCAGCTTTGATGCAGATCTGATCTTAACAGATCAGCTTTGATGCAGATCTGCCCCACCCTAACCTGAACCATCATCCAGTCAACATTTGTACATTTTTTTTCAAGAATGCCTTTGCTTTCTTGTCACTGAAATATTACAACCCTATTTTACCTCACCTCTTGTTTAGTGTCTGCTCTAAAATCTCAGTTCCTATAGGTAAGTAGTTAAAAGAAAATCTTGTTTCACTTTGCAGAGTTTCTAGGTCTCGTAATTGCACCAAGAGGCTTGAAAACATGAATCACGTCAGCTTAAAGAAAGCAAAAAACACTCAAAGGCACTTTTAAAACAAAATTCTCATCACTTTTACAAGAAGCTTATAATCTGAACAGGTGAGGTGGGTGCCTGAGTAACAATTTCTAAGTCCTTGGAGTTAAATGTAAGGATCCTCTTCGCCTTCCTTTTCCTCTTCTCCTTTTCTACTCTTGTATTTGGTATGAGGGACGAAGGTGCCCAAATTTCAGGTAGAAATCATCTTCAGCACGATTCAGAGCCTCCTCGTCGATGTAGACAGCTGGTCTCCGGGAAGCCAAGAAGTACTGCACCTTCCTCAGGCTCCAGCCCATCACRTACCTGAGCCAGCCACTGACAGCTGCCGTGGACCTGCCAACGCCRGCATTGCAGTGGACATAGACCGTGTGTCCATTCTCCAGCAGCCCGTGCAGGAGGCACACAGCTTGTGGCAACATCTGTATCCTTCCTGCAGTTGAAAACAAGGCACGCTCATTTGCWCTGGAGAAAGTTAGTTCATGGTTGAAATTCTGCCTGTGCAGCCTGATGAACTGTGAAATATAATGGCAAACCTGACATATTCAACTCTTTTTCTTACTTTTCTCAAATGACCTTCTAGGCTAACTTAATTTTTTTTTCTTATAACATAGAATCACCATAAAATATCCCAAGTCTTCTCTAAACATACCCTGTGATTAACATCAGATGTGTGTGGCATATTCATTTTCAAAGGAACTAAGACAAGGCAGCACATTATATAGAACAGCACAACTTCCACAGCATTAAAGTTAACAAGCCAAAATGAAATGTRTTTTTTAATACCAGAGGTTTATGAAGGTACCTATGTGCTGCTGATTTCCAAAACATTTTAATGAAGGCCACCAAGTCAACGGTAAGTGTGGGGGGAGAGCAGAAAATTTTACTGTACAACTTAAAACTGTTATGATTTAATTGTGCACTAAGCATACAGTTAAACAACACAGAAAAGTCTTTCTCATTCCCAGAGGGATGAATATACTATATTTTCTGACATTTTCTTCCTCCTATCCTAGTAGCCAGAGCTGCAAAGAGCAGAGCCCAACTTTTCCTCATGGCACATAYGAGCACTGACATTAAGTCCTTTCAAAACCCTGTTTCAAGGTCTCCTGTCTTCCCTGATGTCCTATGCTGAKATGACAGTCCTCTATTTGGGGCAGCAGTATTTCACTGTGTTGAAAGCACTCTCTTCTGCTGGCAGGCTGCTCAYCTGAAAACACACTCATTTTCTAACCTTCTGGTTCAAAACAAGACTTTGAACAGAACATTCCAACCAAGGACTTAAACGTACCAGTAAGTGATGTTGCAGGTCAAGTGCTACGAGTATTCTAAATAAACTGCAAGTTATTATATAAATGTCTCTATGGAGTTTTATCAGACTGGGATATAAGAGTTAAAGAAAAAGTGTTTGTTGGGAAGGGAACAGCAGACACACAGCACTGTGTCCCCATTTTTAATCAGCAAGGGTGGCAAGCTGCCCTGCTGTGCAAACTTGCAGTCTTCCACCTACACAGCATATTTTCGTTATATGGGCTGAATTCAAGCTGAAAGCAAAAACAGTCAAGCAGTTACTGATGTCAGATGGCTTTAACTCAAAATCACATAATACTGTCAGACACAAAGTACTTTAGATGGCCTCTCTTCCTACTAGAAAATATGAATAATTYGTTAAAGACAGCACACAAAAAAATTATACCTTTTGCGCTAGCTGTATTTTTATGCAAAAATTACACAGAAAAAAACCCACCAAACTGTCATGAAAGTGACAGACTAGTAACTCAAAGGATTTGTGRCTATTAATTTACTCCTTGAGTGAGTGAGCATTACCTTCAGTGCTCATATCTGCAGTTGGCAGCCAGACATAGGCAAGACCTTCTTCCTTATACAGCCTCATGAGGGTTTCAGGGCTCATGGGTTCTGGGTAGCGGTTGCAGCCCCAGGAATTCTGAACAATGTCAGATTCAGTCTGGAAGTTCATCACAGCCGTAACACCCAGTTCATGCTTCAGCTTGATGGTCACGTGCTCCAGCTGCCGAGGACAACTTCCCAGCCAGATGTTTGGCAGAATCCTGGCATTGAGAAAACATCRCAGTGGGATTGATTACAGTATCTTACAAGTAAACTGCCAAGTTCAGCAGTGTTACATTTCCAAACCTGCTGGACATCATCCCACAAACACTGCTAAACACAGACTTTTCATGTAATGCAGTAAGCAACTTCTTGTTTCATCACAAGTTCTTATTTTGTTACAGAGGAGTTGGTGATGTCTGATGTTGGGGATCAAGCTCATAGTCTACCACAAAGAGCCAGATGAACTCAGAAAAGAATTCAGAGCACAATTATAGTGCAGGTTGCATTAGAAGCTTACCAACATCAGAGATTTGAATAAGAAAACGCTGAAGATTCATGCAATTTGCACAGAGACAAAAAAAAAAAATAAAGAATTCACATGATCCAGATCTGAATTACTTTAGTAATAAGACAAACATAAAGAACTCTTCCAACTCTTTAGCTACCACTATAATGAGGGAAGTAGGGRAAAAAAAGCAATTTGAACTACCCTTCTGTGATGAAACTTAAAAATTAATGWGTAATTTTCTCCTAATTTTCCTCTGATCTCTTGGAGTCTAGTGGGAATCAAATACAGTATTACAATGCATGTCTAGTGTCCCTCAAGGCCTGAAGGACCAGAAATGTTTCAAGAAAGCAAGAAGTTTATGTAGGATGGGTAAGTACCAGAAATATGGTTGTTTATCTAAATCAAGCTTCAAGACTTCTGTGGTTCTCCCATTGCTAATTATCACAAAATAATTGTATACTTCAACARACTTTGACATTATAAACTGAATATGAAGAAGCTTGCTTTCAAATGAGGTTTATTAATATGCACAGGCAATTAAATTGCTGGTATCTACAATAGATTATTTAAATGTTTAAATTATTAGTGATCTCCTTAAATATTTTTTTTGCTTCCAAAAATTTTGATTTTGAACATGCAATCCACAAACTACATAAAATATTTCTGCATTTAACACTTTGTTAACAACTTTGTAAAATTATTAACTGCAACAAATCTGTAACATTAGCTGCATACAATTCAGCAAACATTATCAAATGTCAATCTACAACAAAAGCAATACCCTCAAAAATAAAATGTCTGCCATGCATGTCTTATGTCCTTCCCAGTTTTAACCTCAGTAACAACTAAGGAAAGTTTTATGTTTTTTCAGGAGCATATAAGCCACCCTTAAAGCATCAGGTAGGTATTTTGATTTCTCTATCACAGTAAAAACTGCTTACTAGCATTTAATTAAGACTTGTAATTGACTGTAATGATTAAATCCTGCTATATTACTACTGAAATATTGTCAAAAAGAAAAATTCAGATCCATGAAGACTTTATTATTGTTTTCAGTGTCATGTATGTCAGCTGCATCCATGGTGAGTTGCACACTAGCCACATTGCAGTGGGACAACACACGTGATCTCAATATATGGTGACGGAGACCAATTTAAACAAATATCTTACATAGAAAATAACCATTTCAACTGTGTCCAACAGTGAGATGTTTTGAAGAGATTTGACTTAGTTGCTGTTTCACAGACATGCTCAAGAATTGCCCCAATTCCCATATAACCAGCTCCAGCATTCTCACTGACCAGAGGGATGAGCGAGGTCTGCTGCAGCAACTGTTCCACTGTCCCCCTTCCCACGTGCCAACCGTACAGCCACCCCCATCCTAACCTGAACGAGTGACCACTGTCAGGATTCTGCCACAGAAATYATTAGAGCATTTCAAGGTGGCAAATGTAAGTTAGAGAGCCCTAGCAGATGCTGACAAATGGCTGGAGATGAGCAATGCCCACAAAACTCCATTCCCAGAAAAGAAAAATGGCAATATTACTAATACCGTGTGACAATATGAGGATATTATTTCAAGAATAAGAACATTAGTATCCTTCCTTCAAAGGCTTTCCTGGAGACTCATACATCTGTAATTCACTTGATATTTTKTGAAACGCCTAATGCACTAAATTACCTTGATGGGAGAAAAAAAAAGTGTGTTTTCTAGGATTTGATTGAATTAAGAGTGACTAAAGCATTCCTGAAATAAATAAAATTCTGGGTAGTACACTTGTTGACTGGTAAATCAATGCTTTATAATTTTTTTTCCCAAATGATTATTTAATGGTGAGCACCACAGCTGTGCTACCTGGGATATAGACCATTTGTTTATTTTGTTCAGCCTAATAGGTCTTGTACATGACAAGACCTCCTGTATTGCACAACACTAATTGCATTTACTGAACAGTCTGARGAGTTTGCCAGGTTTTTATCCCTGTCTTTCCCTGTAATTAATCAAACCAGTGGAGGCATTCAAAGAATGACCAAAAAAATACATTTAGGACAGGTGATTCTTATGGATTATTTTTAAGATCCGGTCCTGAAGTTTAGCCTTTTAGAGGATCAAGATGTAGCCTTGACCTTGGTCTTCAAGMCCCTTATCTACACACCTACAAATAACTGTAATTCTTGGTCTTGCTGGACWAGGCTTAATCACCCTTTTTCCATGCAGAAAACAGTATTGTAGAGYTGTCCTATCAGCCAATTTATGTAATCCTACTGTATAGTTACTATATTTATTTGGCTTTATCTAATTCATACCTTACCTTTTTCTGACAAGGAAGGAAGGAATAAAAGGGGTTAGTACACAGGCAAGTACAGAGACTAATGGAGAGTTTAGCAGCTATATTTTAAATATTTTTTTTTATAGTCCTGCTGAGGGCTTCATTATGCTGAGGACCAGAAAACATACATATTACACCAAGCAAGAATGTGGTAATTTCATTTTTACATCTCTCCTTAATAATATAACTTTTAGTTTTCCTTTTCACTGTGGCCTTTCTTCATTAAGTTGCCACTGTACTTCAGTAGGTAGCTAGATTTTAGCCACAGGACTATATGGCATGGGAAAGAGAGCCTTTTACCTTACTGTCTAAACTGTCATGTTATAGTGCTTTGAGCTCTCTGACAGCCACTGCTTCCCAGCTCACATGTGATTGTACTCCAGTARCAGATTATCTAATCTGATCCCTAAGCACAGTTCAAAAAACATTAAGACATTATTAGTGATCAATAAACCTTTAATCTTTTCAGCCACTAACTCATTTGATGTTCCCCAAATATCAAAACAGGATGGTGTTTCAGCAAAAATTCAATTTGGAATTCTGCTTTAATATAAAAATGGCTCTTTGTCATTGTACATCTTAACTCTCTCTGTGTTAAGGAKAGTAAACCAAGTTTGGCTCCAGAATACATGATCAATTCAGTCAGAGACAGTTTACCAATGAAGAAATCACCTAGAGTGATTTAAGCATCAACAATCAGCAATATTCAGCAATCTTCTGAGATTAAGACTTGTAAAGGTACTTTCTATCAAGTTACTTTCAGCCTGCCCTACATTTCAGTTCTCCACTAGCAATATGGATATAATATTTATCTACCTTAAGGGGACTTTTACGGGTCAAACAGATGAATTAATGTCAGAAGTTTGAGTTTGTGGTAACAAGGACTAAATGTTAGGTAAATGTTAGTCAGTTTACTTCACAGAGCTCAGACTGAAGGCTGACATATTAAAAGCCTGCCTTGTGACTTACAAACTGAGAAAACCAACAATCATTTATCATTACCAGGGAGTAAATACAGAACACCCTGCAATCACTGGTACACTTCTTTTCCAGCACACTTAAATTACTTTTAATGACTAAGACATATATTGCATTTGTTGGCTTCCCCCAAGGACTCTGCACAGCCTAGATTAAAATATAGCAATTCACTGTGAATGCATCTGAAATAACAAATGCATTCCATTTAATCAATGCATATGCAAATAGTCTTCCCATCCTTAAGGAGAAAATTAGTCTGAGGCAATGAAAAATTAGCATTGTGATTTTTTTAATGGTGCAGACTAATTTTCAGGCGGGTTCACAAAACATGACACATTGTTCCTTTCAATCTTAGACTTCCACAGAGGGTACAAAACCAGCCCAGCAACTGTAATTGTAGGGATCTGATTCCCAGGGAAGGTGACCTGTCCTAGCGGAAGACACCAGGTTACTGCATCAGGCAGTCAGCCCTTCTTCCATGACATCAATTTTTATTCTGCTTCTTCAGCAGCTTCTGTCKAACTTTTGTTAATAATGCCTTTAGACAAACAGATACTAAATTCAAATTTCCTTAAAATGCTGAGTTGTAAGCTGGGATGACTCAGGTTCTGCTTCCAGATCTGAGCAATCATCAGTGCGCYAGGAGGAGGCATCTTAGAATCTACCCTAAAATCAATCAACCCTCTAAGGAGTCAYAGTTCTTATGAAAAGAATAGGATTTGGGACCTTAGGGAACATATTTATCAGAGTATCTATAAGGTACATTATTTCAGATATCCTTTTATCCTTATAGTCGCCAGCTTTAATCAAAAGAGAGGACTTTGSCAAGCTAAGGAAAAAGAGTAGGGTGTTTGTCATTGGTTATTGGCAACAGAGCAATCCATCAACCATGCCATTTGTTTATATCAGTAATATTTTTGACTATGGTCCAGTGTATTATTTCAAATGAAAAGCAATGGATTGATTCATCCCTCAGTGCCAGGTCAAGGTGTAGCCTGTGTCCAAAGCTCACAYTTCCCTTGTCTATGCCAGACTTCCTCAGATCCCATTAAGCATCTGATGACAGTCAGATGAGTGCTAATACATACTTACAACAAAATAGAGCAATTTAGTTGAAACAACAGGCAAAATAATTATTAAATGGACTCTGTCCTCCCTCAAGACTCTCATTTCCTGAAGGTGTAGCATGCAACCACARCTACCTGGAAGTTGCAGTAAAATTTATCCTGCATTCCCAGAAGAGCAACATAATAATTCAGTCAATTTACCCCCAGCCTTTGTGTTGCTTCTAGGCATACAGAGTGGTTTTTTTGTACCAATGTAGTGCTATTACCCTGGTACCACTACAAGCAAGCAGCCCAAAGGGAATATAGGCCTGAAATACAAATCAGTTACAGATTTT